TAACGCTAATACTTATAATTTAATTATATTAAATAAAAACATTTGAAAACCTCTTTTTACACATTTTCCAAAAAACTTAATGACCAAACTAAAAATAATATATAAATATATTTTTAGAAATCCCATTTTAGGCTAAATTGTTAAGCAATTAAGGTCCAAAAAAGTATCTTTAAAACCGGGAAAAAAACGATAAATACACAACAAGAAATGAAAGAGCAACGATATCGAACCGAAATACCATTAAAAAATCAACAAAGAACGCGGAGAAAGAAAATCAAATAAAAATAATACAAAACAAACGACTGCGACAGTGTTTTGATATTTCGAATTTGATTTGATTTTGTTCATCGTTTGTTTTTGGTCATTTCTATTTAAATTTGATTTGGTTTTATTGCACCTCGCTTTACGTTTTACAACGCAGCCGAGGCATAAAATTTAACGAAATAAAAGACGGGCTTCGAACGTCGAATTCTGAATCATTAAAAACTCACCCGTTCGTCTGGCATTAAATTTGCATTCGATCGCCGAACCTGGGGCATAGTAAACACCTTATAAGCCTAATGTAATCTCATTTCGAACCGTTGAAATGTGTCTTTAAATCAATTAGTTATCATAATATATGGCCAAATGCCGTCATCTCAATCGTATCTCTCAATCGCGCATGGCCTTTATGGCGATTTCATCCGCAGATAGCGGATTCTATTCATAATTCTATTGCAAACCTCTGATTTTGGTAGCAAAATCGAGCGTATTTGTTCGCCATTTGCCTAGAAATTGCCTTGGGAAAGTCACAAATTCGATTCAGTCAACGAACTCTCACGGATATTTACATCGGGCTTCGATCTACCGAAGTGTTTTGCCTTTACGATCACTAAAACTCCATGGCGAAACAATGATCACTGCTGTCTTTGTTTGAGGTCAACAAAGATCTTGGTTATGGCCGCGGATTAGAACTCGTTTATGAACACATTTATGGCATTTAGGATCGCAGGAAAATATTACTTAATTACGCCTTACGGCTCTTGCTTATTGTTTAGAGTCCATAAAAAGCTAGAAGTTTTAAACGTACAATTAAAAAAATATGTAGTATATATAAATAAAGGTTTTTTATAGTTTCTGTTGATAATAAATTAAATATATTATACACACAAAAATAAATACGCCGGAGGGAGAAAGAAAAATTCTAAATTCGAACTGGCCTGTTGCTTACATTTCGAGCATTTCAAATTGTACCAGCAGAAAATGTATTAAAAGCAAGGCTTCGACAACTCCTCCAAAGTAATTGGCGAAATGAAGAGGAATGCCTTTTCTTTCAGAGCCAAACCGAAACTATTGATTATCAGCGAAACGATGATCGATAATAAATAGCATCTGCGCATAAAGAAAATAAAGCAAAAGAAACGAAAACGAAACGTTTCAACAGTTAATTGGAAGCTGGGCCTTTGCATATATTCTAATTGCTATTCAATTTCCCAAAGACAATTTTTCAATTGTTTTAATGCCTCCATGATTGATACACCTAATTGCCGGCTAGCTGCGCCCCAAGAAATTGGAGGGAGACGGCAGGGATATGGTATATGGTATATGGAGTACGAGTGCTGGAGAATCAAATTGCAAAACGGCAGCCAACTGGGCAAGCGAAACACGTTTCAAAACCAAGCATTTCGCTTGCGTCATTAAAATGAGCCTGATTTATAGCCCCGGCTCTGGTCCCGGTTCAGTCTAGGCCTACACTGTCAGAAAAGCGACTGCCTGTCGTTCATAATAATAGGACATGATTTTTAAGGAAAATATTCATAAATATTTTTAATATTTGCTTCTCTTTTCAAACGAGTAATATAACATTTTTTTATAACCAGTGGCAGATCCAGGATTTCAATATAAATATATTGTTGCATACTTTTTCAATACCGTATTTCCATTCTTCATTTTTATAACATAGAATATTCTTGTTAAGCACACAATTATTCTACTATAGAAATTTTGAGCCTTTAGTAAAAATCATAAATTTTAATCATATAAACCCCTATGATTTTCTGCCAGTGCATTACCTGAACCGGGTCCAGGAGCAGGTTGGAAGTGCCCGCGTTTCCACACATTGGCCATTGGCTACCACTTGGGCTAAGAGCAAAGACCAAAGACCAGGCCCAAACGCACATTTTCCCATCGGCAGCCGGCGAGTAAACCATAACTATGACCATCGAGGCGGACCCTCCCAACCTGATCCAACCCGGGGATGTATATATATCCGAGGATGGGGACTGGGGACTGAGGACCTGTTGCTAGTTGCTAGTTGCCCTCGATGTTGCTAGTTGCTAGTTACTAGAGTGCTGTTGCTGTTGCTGCTGGCAGCGCAAATCAAAGCGCAATATGTTGACTACATTTGACTTCCCGGTAATTAGACGTGCATGCCAAGGCGGCCAAGACGATGAACTAGATGTGCACAGTGGGCAAAAATGTATGGGAAAATATTTGCAATTAGAGTGCTAATTTTAAAGTACGAATTTGCGTACATTATTTACTGCATTTATAGGTATTACAAAAAAATGTATACATTCACGTAAAATGCCGAATATTTTTGATAAAAATGTTCGAGCTTAAGTCAGCAATAATTTGTAGTTAATTTGTAATAATTTCTCGTCCGCATGTTAAATTTAAAATATGGTTTAAGACTTTAAGGTGTGAGTAAAAATAAATTCAATATACGTACGCAAAAACAAACCTTAGATTTAAAATAAAAATAGGTTTTAAATTTTGTAAGTTTCCATGTGATTTCTAATTTTTTAACCTACTTTTAGTTTTAATACTTAGCCTTAAACTATTTAAATTTAATTGAAATTTAATGTTTCATATCCAAAGAAAGTATTTTTTTTTTCCTTTTTGATAATAGTCTAAAATTAAAATCCTTAGAATTTTATATAGATTTCAATTTTATTTTTTACAAATAATACAAAATACCAAGTATTCCGAAAACCTTAATTTATAAAATTGAACTTGTGAGTTTATGTTAGTTGCTTAAAAAAAAGTCTTAAGCCCTAATGAGTGGATCTTGAGAAATGACTTCCCTTAAAAAAGCGGTATATTTTCAGTAATTTTCAACCGACTTTTGGACCACTGTAGCCATTGGCGTCGGCGTCGGCTGCCATTGATTAAGTGTTTCGAGTGTTTCAGTTTGCCGGGGCTCAGTTCGCTGGATGCTGCCTGCGTCGCTTTGATGTGAAGTGCACCTGTTTTCTGTTCTCCGTTTTCTAAGCCGGCCCAAGATGATGGGTAGATGGCCAAGAAGCGGGGCCACAACAGGGGCAACAGGGGGGAATTGGCCAAGTCGAGGCCGGCCAAACAGAGTCATAAAACGCCACGGCGGCCACGCGCACTCCGCAGCTTCTACAGCTTGTTACAACTGGTTGTGATCGGCGTGGGGAGGGGTCTCTTGAATGGGGGATGCACTTAAAGAAATCTGGAGTGCAAAAATTGCTCACATTTTTATCTTGCCTGGCAAGATTTTTGAGATATTTTTTTTTACAAATTTTATGTGATTTTTAAGTAAGTAAAATTAAACGTTATATTTTGAAAAATATTAAAAAAAAATACGTTTTTATATTCCACCAAATTATATAGAAATTTCTATGGGCAAAAAACAAGTTCCATCCGATTTTTACCAAAAGATATTTAATATAAAATAAATTTATATAAACGATGCTAAAGAATTCGCGTTTTGTTAAGAATGACACAGGAATTATAAACAAATAGAAAGGTTTCTTTTGAAATTCTATATCAATTTCTAAATTGCCCTTCCCAGTTAATATGCTTTTTTGTTCAGTGTTCTAGAATAGCCACAGAATGGGCTGCAGATGGGCTGTGTTCATCCAGCGACGCGCCGCGGGGCCGAAGATCAGGGAAATTGGGGAAAGCGGCGGCGGGGGAAAATGGGGAAACTCGTGGAGAAGGAGAAGCAGTTGGAGGTGGAGGTGGAGGAGTGGGGACCACCGAAGAGCGATCGGCGATTTCGATGTCTGCTTGTTATTATTGATGCTGCTGGATCGGACCGAGAAATCAGAGAGCCGGGCGCATAAATAACCCGCCTCATAATCAGGCGCTGCCATTAGGTTTGTGTCCCAGCTAGAGGAGAATAGCAAAAGCGGCAAAAAAGCCGCAGCCACCAAATATGGAATCACATGTAGCGCCAGTGGTCGTGGCAAGTTGCTGGTTAGCTGCAACTTTTGCAGCTGCCTCTTGTAGGAGGCGACAGGTGCAATTATGCGATTTGGGCTCCAGGCGGCGATTTCCGCATACCGCACGCAACATTTGCACATCGCCATCGCATTCGTCACGGGATTCCTCCGGTCGGAGGGCCTTCAAAATCGCAGATGGCCAATTTCATCTCGAGCATTTGGCATTTGGTGCCCCGAATTTCCGGGTCATTTTGCGGCCACTTAATGGGAATTGATGGAATATCCATTTTTCCATTGCATTTCTTCTCAATTTGCTGCACTCAGAGAAAAAGCGCAGTGTTCTTCCTGTAACCCCCCATAAACAAATATGAAATTTGGTTAAAAAATCAGCAAATTAAACGAAAAGTGAGGCAAATTAATTTATTAGATTACCAGCTGTTCAACAAAAATGTAAAAAATAAATCATATTTTTATCAAAAACCCAAAGCGTTTGATTGCACATAACTTTTTACTGAATTGTTCGTATTAAAGAAGTTTTGGATTGGTAGATGGATATTCAAATTTAAAACAAAATCATGTTTATTAAGAAAGAAGCTAAGAAAGCTATATCTGATATCTCAACTTCCGAGACCACAGTGCTGAAACGGAAATAAGGACGGAAATTCCCAATGGTGATATGAAATGATTACGTTATCCCAACATGCAGAAAAAGTCCCTGACGTGGGATTTACCCTTATCAGCAATGTTCTTGGTTTCATTATTTTTAAAATAGCATTTTAAATTCAGTACGTTTTAAGAGTTCTCTGTGAATAGTTAGTCAAATTCGAAATGCTGAAGCTGACATATTTTTCTGTGCTGCTCCTTATTATCCTGGTGTCTCAAGGATCTGTTGCGAAATCCCAGGATAATGGGCGATCCACTTGCCTGTTGCAGGACCCTCAAAATCAGTGTGGCGACTTCTGCCTTAGCAAGATCCATCCGATGATTGAGTTGGTTCCCGAAACGAATTCCAAGTTGGAAAGGATCTACCGCGAGCAGCAGTCCATCCAGATGAAGCTCGTGGCAGTTCAGTCGACGGTGGAGGCCCAAAGGATCTCAATGCAGAATTCCTTGAAGAACATCACCACAAGTGAAGACTTAAAAAACCAACTTCAGTTGCTGACCACCAAAATGGAGGACCAGGATACATCAATGCAAACCAAACTCAATGGGATGAGTTCCGAGCTCAAAAGTCAGCTGCAATATCTTCAGACGAATCTGGAGGACCAGCAGACGACGATAACAAAGGACGACTTCGAGGAGAGGCTGAATGTGACGGAAAAACAACTTTTGGTCTCGAATTCCGAGTTAAAGACCCAACTGAAGGAAATGCACACTAATATAAGAGACCAGCAGACATCCATGCAAGCCGAAATGGATGTCCAACTTCTGGCGGTTCAGAAAAAACTGGAGGTTCAGAATATAGCCATTTGTGAATCCTTTGAGGAGAGATTAAACGGAACGGAGGGACAAATACGGATGTTCGACATCAAAATGGAAGCCCAACTAAAGGAGCTTCAAAACAAAACTGAAAACCAACTTATGGCGCTGGAGAACCAATTATCGGCCTTTCAGAAAACCCTTTTCGAAACCCTTTCCACAATCAAATCCAAAACCATCGATCCAAGGTTCGAGCTTATTGGCTCTAGATATTTTTATATCGAACATGGTTTTCAGAAAAACTGCACTGAGGCTGCAGAAACATGTCGTGGAATGGGCGGCTATTTGGCGGCTTTCAAAAACCAAGAGGAAATCGCAGCCATAATGCCGAAACTTTACCAATCTTGGTATTGGACTGGCATTAAGAGGGAAGATGGCAAGTTCATATCTACGGCCTCCGGAAAGTCTGCCCCCTTTTTAAACTGGTATGAGGGAGAGCCCAACGATAGCGGTGATTGCGTTATTATATATAAGGGGAGTTATGGGAAAATGGCTGATTTATTAGGTCCTGTTGAAAGTTATTTTATTTGCCAATCAGATAATGAGACATAAATATACGCAATGTAAGTTATAAGCTAAAAGAGGTTTCATCAGTTGAAATTTGAATAAAGTTGGTATAATTTGAAAAAGATATAAACTATATTTCAAAGTTTTTTAATTAAATAATAAAGAGAGTTAAAGGTGATATGCCTTGCTATGCACCATATTTTTCCTATAGAGGGCACCACCATTTCAACTCGTCGTCCGCCTTTATGGCTTCACCAGATATTGGTTAACCTCAGAAATGTGACTGCTTCATGGATCCTCCGGTTCCTCGGCCATCTTTTCTAATGTATTCTAATATCCAACCGCAAGGCTTCTGTTTGTCACACCTTTCGCGGCTACTCGTTCCCCGATACACATACATATATATATGTTTTCTTGGCCGAAGGATGGACTTCTCTTGCCACTTTGATCGACTTGTCTCGAGTTACGCTTATCGATGTCTGCCGATCACGCGCCATGTTGGCAGTTTTAATTATGTTGTTGTTGCTGCTCCAGCCTGTGCTTCTGCCTGTGATGTTGGTACATCTTGGCCATATCTTCCCTATATCACCCCGAAGTATCCCCCTTTTCTTGGCTCTCTGTGGAATGTTGACGAACTGCTGTCGCAATTAATACGCATTTGCTGTCGTCGTTGTCGCTGCAACTGAGACTTTTCAGTCGGGAGCCTCCCCCCTTTTAGCCACCGTGGAAACTGCACCTCCCCCTCCCCAGACGACGCCTCTGTCAACAGTATTTGCTATTTATAGACGACTTTGTCCCCACGCTCTGTCCCCACATAAAGCAGGGAAAACAGAGGAGCAGCAAACAGTTGCAAACTGGTATTATGTCTCATGTTGCTGCTGTTGTTCCAGTTGCTGCTGCATGTTGCTGTCGCTGCTCAGGTTCTTCATGTTGCTGCTGTGGCTGCTAATATTGCATGTTGCTGCCGTGTTGCCACTGCTACAGTTGATTATGTTGCTGCTGCGATTATTACAGTTGCTGTTGCGGCAGCAGCTACACAGGGCAAAATTGGCATTGACTTGATTAATTTTGAGAAAAATCATATTTTAATTATAACAATTAAAAAAGCTATAATATAAATATTTTTTATAAAAAAATAAAATAGGTAAAGGAAATATATTTTTATTTTTTAGAATGAAAAAACTCATAAAGTCTGGTATAAACATATATTTTTTATATTATAATATTATATAAAGTATGATGATTTAGATTTATATGATTTAGATATTAGCTTATTTATTAAATCATATTTAATTTCCTATTTTTTTCCTGTGCAGATGTTGCTGCTGCGGTTTGATTCATAATGTTGCTGCTGTACCCGCGTATTGCTGTTGCCCCAGAAGTTGCTGCTGTTGTTGCTGCCTTAACTCTTAATATTGCTGCTAATGTGACTGTTATTTTTTGCCTTGCTGTTGCACCTGGCGAGTTGTGGCCATAATATGTTGCTGCTGCCGCTGCTGTTGCTCTTGGAATTCCTTCTATTATTTATGTTTCTGATTTAATTTTCTCAGTTTGTGGCTGCTGCTGCTCCCATTTATAATTCTTGGGGTTTCGTGGATATTTTATTTGTTTTTTATATATCGCTAAAGCCAATATATTGTCTTTTTCCAACTTTAATGAGCAATAGCTACGAATCATCTGTCCCTAAAAGAGTGGACCCACAAGGGTATTCCAGTTTGTCGTTCTAACTGCAGATTATTATTATTTTTCTTTCTTTTTTGCAGTCCTGCAGCAGCAGCAGTTAGTATTGCACTTAGCTCAGATATTGATATTGCTGCTGCTTGTGTTTCACTGGCAATTATTGCTGCTGGCTCTCGATGTTGCTGCTGCTGCTGCTGTTGCAGTTGCTGTTGTCGTTCGTCCCACTCTGTTTTTCCTGGCATTCTGTCGTTATTCCCTTCATTCCAGTGGCTGCTTAACCTGTTGGGGTCCCCCCTTCTAGAACCCCCTTCTAAAACCCCTCCCCTATAAGCCACCGCCCCTTAACCACATTCTCCCTGCATTATAATGAAATTATTTGTACTTTTGCTGCATTTGAGCCCATGTCTGCCGTCTGGCAGCAACTTCTGTGGTTCGGAAAATGGAAAATGCTTTTCCCCGGCCCCAATTGTTCGATGGGTGTATGTATATTGCCCCCCTTTTGGATACCCCTTCGATTTGTGCAATGTAATTATTTCAAACTGTCTCTGCTTCCGTCGAGTGAATTTCCTCGCATTTTTCCCGCTCCGCTCGCTCTCACCTCTTGTCATTTCCTTTTGGCATAAAGTTTTCCTCGGGGGGAAAATGGCACTGGCGGCAGCGTGGTGCGGGGCAGGGGTGTGCATTTTCCGAGGGGTGGCGCACACATTTGCCAATTGAGCAATGAGGTTGCCAAGAAGAGTGGGTCAAAATAGTGAAAAACATTTAAGTGCAGGAAAATAGTTCGGGGCATTAGAGATGGTGATAAGAAGCGATGACTGAAGAAAGTTAAAGTTTTAGATAGATAAATAAAATATGTTATGTTTAAATTAATTTTTTTTTTTTTTTAAATTGAAATGGCAAACTCCAGAAAAAAAATTCCTAATAGTGTTTGACAAAATTACAAATTAATTATATCCCAAGCTTTATCGAGGTTTCGACAACTCTAATAGCGACATGGAGGTGGAAATGGGGGGAAACCCAGCGCTTTTGGCTTCGAACTCAAATGCAAAATCAATAAGTTCGTCGGTGCAAGAGGGCCAAGTTAATTTTCGTAATTGGCATCTTAACAAGGTTATCTGCATTCGTTGCGATTTGCATTCATCTCGCCCGCCCTCTCCTGGATTTCCCCCCGCCCCCCTTATCAATTATGCAGCTGGCGTGTGGCGCGCCCCTGCTTTTGCCCACCCCCCTTCGCTCGCTTCACTCCACGCCCCTGGCATTAGCATCTAAATGCAAAGACTCGAAATGAAAAAGAACTTTTTGGCTGTCAAAATGCTTTCGGATCAAAAAACTAAAATTTCATATTCGAGAGCATTCGCTTTTTTTGTTCATTTCTTTTCTCCTTTTTTATTTTTTTCGTGCGGCGGCTTCTGCATTTAAATGAAGTTGTAAGCCGAAAGCGAACCGAAAACCGAAACGAAATAAATAAGTTTAGGTATGAAGAATCCATTGCGTGTGGGCTGTGTTTTTTTTTTTTGTAAGTCTTTCGAGGGGTTTAAAGGTTCCAAATTAGCATACGAACTTTCAACCACACTGCTGAAAAAAAAACGGGCATTTTAAATGCCAAATATAGAAAGACAGAATAAAATTATCGACCTAAAAGTGTTTATTCATTTTCAAAAATTCGGAATGCGAATTTCAAGTGAGAAAGAGTTTTGTGATAAAATGGCAAAAAAAGGTTTAAAAATAAATAGGCAATTTTAAATGCACTTAAATAAAAATCAATTAAGGGAAAAATATACTGACTAAAATTAAATATTATAAAACAAAATTTAATATTTTAATTGATTATAAATAAAGACCTAAGTTAAATAACATTTTAAATATTTTGTATTCATAAAATTGATTAGAAATTAACCTCTCTTTATTATTGATACATTTGAAATAAATGTATAAAATATTACTTAATATTATAATTGATTAGAAGTAAATATCTCCTTATTATTTAAACATTAATATTATAATTTTCAGTGCCTTGTAAGTGCCTTCTTGTTTTTTTCCTTGCTGGCTTGAACAAAGTCTTGGCGAACCTCTAAAAGGTGGCACTGCATTAACCGTCTCCGCACAATTGAATTAATCGATGTGGCCCATTAGAAAAGCAAGGCACGTCGACTTTGTTGTCAATCATAATGACAACTTAACGCACACACTCGCAGCCGGGAGTATCTATGTGACTAGTGGGTCATACATCAAAAAATGGCTGAATGAGAGGCCTTAAAGAAGAAAAAGACAAGAAAAGAGGAGAGGTAGAAGACAAGACCCGAGAGATTATCATATTATGGGAATGATAAAGAAAAATTATGGTGCAGTAGCTGGTCGAGCATAAATTAAGCAGGTGTAGATGTATTTCTTTCGAAAGAATGGATATCGTAAGTGGCTCTCAAAGAGACTTTTCGGCTGGAAGGCAAAATTTAGAAACTAAATAAATTAATTAATATTTTTCGTTTGAAATAAGATCAAAAAGTACCTATTTAATTTAGAATATTTACCCACAAATGCCACTCAGTTTGTCTTAAAGTTAAACGGAAGAAACACCTACCGTCGAAAGCATATTGCGACTTATTTACATTTACTTATGGAATTATTTAGTTATTCAATTATGTACAGAAATTGATGTAAACACGGGCATTTTGTGCGGAATAAATATAATATAAATCAGATAATCCCCCCAAACCAATCATCTGGCAACTAGATTTCGCTCTCTGAATCAAAACTTTCGTTAGGCCTGCAACAGAAAATTGAATTCACCTTCCGTCGGGCCATAAATTGCCGACCGGGCCCCGCCCCCTTTTCCCGCCCCTTGCCGCCTTTCCGACCTGCCCGCTTTCCCACTTTCCCACGGGCAATACAAACCAAATCAGTGAAACCAAGTTACATTCTGCGATGTGTTCTTGTTTTTGTTTTGGTTTCGGTTTTTCTCTCCGCTCGAGGTCCTTGGGCGGCTTCCAAAAGACGCAGGAAAAAAATAAAATAAAACGCCAGGATAATCAATAAATGAAATTCAATTTGCTGCGCCATTTGCGCAGACAGTCAACAACAACGAAGATATCAGAGGAGTGAGCGGATTTTCCTCCTTTTTTTTTCTTTTTGGATGGGCTTGAAGTGGCGAAGGACCCCAGATTATTCAGACTGCATTGCACAGGAAAAAATTATATTTGTTTTATAAATTTCCGCCTTAATTACTTAATATTTTATTTTTCTTGTGTGAAGCTATACAAGCACGCAAATGAAAAAAAATCGCACTTACAATTTATTTTTTCTAAGTGCAAGAAATTTATTTCTAAAGTCAAGGAAATTTTCCTTACATCAAGAAAGGTTTGCTTAATTATTGGAAATCGTAAACAAGGATTGCCTTAAAAAAACATTTTCCCTATAATCATGAATTTTTTTCTAAGAAATAAAAAAGCTACAATAATAATATAAAATATTTCGGCAACCCAATTTTCTAAAAAGCAATATCTGAACCGTTAAAAAAAGAAGATATTCTTCAAAAATATAAATGTTTTTTAACAAGTTTTTCTGAAAATATAAACATTTGTTTAAATTTTTGAACACAGAAGTTTAAGAATACATATATTTCAAATAAAATAGAGATCAGTCTCAAGGATATATTTTTTCTGTCTGTGTAGCCCAGGACCTACCCCTCCCCCGATAAACCCCAAAAGTCTAGGACTAAGCACGAAAGAAGCAGCGCCCATAAAACGAGGACATCTAATGAGTGAATGAGTGAAACAGGGGCGGGGGTTCTGGGGGTGAAAGGGGGATTGGTAACTGGAAAAAAGGCGGTGGAAGAGGAGGCAGGGGGCGGGGGCGTGAGCCGTGAGCGACGCGTGACGTTCGTGTATTTTATCGATATTGCAATTTATTGTATTAGCCCGCAAACGACCGAAAGAAAAAGGGGTGGGGAAAGGGGGGGCGATAGGAAAAACAGGGAAAACTGGAGGAAAAAACATGGTCAGAAGGGGGTGGAAAACCTGAAGCAAATATCGGCAATGTTCCCCTCACCCGCCAGAGTTCCGATAATATTCGCTGGCTATAAAGTGAAATATGTGTTAATTTTTTGCCATAGATAAATAGAAAAGCGGAAAAAAGGGGAGCAGTCACGCCCATCTGAATATATATCTACAGCACTTTTATACATATATATAGCATAAATATTTGTTGTAATGATAATATTGACATTGATAAGCGTCCACAAATTTATGCACAATTTGGCTAATTGATTGGGGCGGATCCGTGGCTATGAGAATCCACTGCAAAATGGCAACATCGCACGCAAAATGAAAATTGTGAAAATGGGAAAAATAGATTGACTGAGATATTTGCGGTGGTGATAATCAGGATATTATACAAGGAAAATCAAAGGAGGGAAAATTCTATAAAATAAGCTAAGAGCTTATTTGATTTAAAATTGTAAATATTTAAATACAAATATTAATATTATTACAAAAATAATTAAATTAGGAATAGCTTATATGGTTTAAAAAGACAAACATGAAATTCATTTATTATTATTTATTATTTATTCTCCTGTTAAAACGATATTATAAATTGTCTGTAACCTGTACATTAAATTCCAAATATTATTTATAAAGCACTTCTTGTTTTAAAATCTTCTTATAGTTTCGGGATATTCTGTAAGGAAAATCAAAGAAGAAAAAATTCTATACAATAAGGTAAGAGCTACTTCGGTTTAAAGAGACAAATATGAAACTTATTTATTTATTCTCTGGTTAAGAGGATATTATAAATTGTCTATAACCTCTACATTAAATTCCAAATATTTATATTTAATATCCACTATTTGTTAAACAATCTGTTATATATTTTAAGCTTTAATCATTTTCTTTGTTTATCAAATGGATAATTTCTGTTTCTTTATTTTCTTTGATTTCCTTTCGAAACTTGCAAATGATTAGCTGGCTTTTAGTTATTTAATTAATCCAGTGCCCTCGACTCTCCACTTGCATTTGCAGCTGCCTTTAACTCGAAACTTTGGGCAAACTTTGGCTGAAATAAAGGAGAGGACTTTAGCCCTCATCCACCCCCTCCCCTCCCTCCTTTCGCTGTCCATGTCCACGTCCTCGTCCTAATTTTCATCCTGCGAAGGAGGATGCTCTGGACATGACCAGTCGCCTGGTTGTGTTTACCTTTCCGGCTGGTTGGACAGGCAGCGGCCTCAAATGAAGCATGAAGTGTTGGCCCAAGAAGACGCAGCCACCGCAGCCGCCGGGCTTTGGATGGGGTTTTGGCCGGGCTTTAACCGGGTTTTAACCCGGTCGAGAGCGAGACGTCAATGTCAAGTGCACAGAGGCGGCGACGACTTCGATTGCCACCGAAAATCAAGACGGACGGCTGGTCGGGCGAACCGACAAAAAAAGGGGGCAGCGGTAGGGGGTAAATAAAAATCAGACAGCAAGCCGCCCACGCAGAAACACCAAAGACCAGGGCTGCAATAAGATATTTTTGGGCTAACGTTTCAGCAGCAATTAAAAGATTTTAAGTAGACTTTTAATATTAATACCTAATATATTTTTAGATATAATATTATACATTTAATTTAATTTAAACAATTTAACATAATATTTACAGTGAGAATTATTAGATAAAATATTTATTACTTTTAATGCAAGTTAAAAAAATATAATATATAATATGTAATAAAATAATTCAAATTAAAGACAAATCTAAAAATGTACAGTAAATTTTAAATGAAAAAGAAAGGTTGGCAGTTTAAAATATTGAACTTTTTTTTAAATCAATTAAATCACTTTATTTACAAGATAATCCTTAAACTACTATATTAATTAAATATGTAAACATATATCATTTAAAAATACTGAGATTTGCAAGCACAAGTGTTTTCGCGGATTCAATTAACAAAATCGCATCCCTGGTGGCCGTCTCACCTTGCCGTTGGGCGCCATTTTCGACGCAAATTGAAAGTGAGCCACAAAAAAAAACGCTTAATTCAATACAAAGACAAACGAAAAACGTCAACAAACAAACAGACAAACAAACGAACAACTGCAACAATAACAGCCACATGAGGAGGGGAGAAAAGTTTATAATAACAGCGGACACAAATTAATTTTGCAAGCCGTCGCCGGCGACACAAATTGCCGTGTCATGTCCAGAGTTGAGTTATCTCTTTTTTTAACTTTTGCGAACGCCCTTAAGAAGGTGCAGTGAGTTTTTAGGCGGAAATACTCTTTGCACAGTGGGGTATACGGATTTCGGGTTTCACTTTGGGCGGCATTACTTATAAATTATATTCTGGAAATGATAATAAATTCTTAACTTAATAAACTGTGCAATAAAGTCAAAGAATTCGCGCTTTCAAAGAATATTTTACCAAATTAGGCTTAAAAACCAATCCATTAAAGGAATATTTTAAAATAATTACTCTTTAGGGTTATTTCTTTTGAAGATAAACAAAATTGATGAATAATAAATAAGAAATAATTTAATGAACATCTTACTAGATACAAATCTTCTCGTTTTATATTAACACAAAACTGTTTAAGAATTCGCGTTTTGGAATATATTATTTATATATATTTTATATTTATATTTTCTCGGAATATCTGGGTAAATATTTCCTTGGCAGTCTATCCTATCCTTTAAGAGTATTTCATGTTCGGATCCAGAGGCCAATGAGCCTTTCTGGTTTTTATTGCTTTATCGTTCTGCTGTTCGGCTGCTTTCTGTTGAGCCGGCAGAGAAATGAGAGGTGTGATCGAGGAGCGATCTCTTCGCCTGCCCCAGAGCATTGTAATTACAAGCGGCGAATCTCCACGCATATGCCCGTCTCTTTCTCCGAGCACCTCTCTCCGTCCTTCCGTCTCTTTCTCGCCGTATTTCCCCAGTGTGTGTGCTTTTTTGTACAGGTAATTTCCACTAATTACGAGGCAATGAGTTGGTAAAAGCGACTACAACTGCGGGCAAAAGGGGGCAGGGGGCACTACTGTGTGTCTCGCAGATCTTTAGGCGCATGATTTGCGTTTTGCGGCCAAGTGTTAACGGGTAGCCCAAAGCTCTCGGCTCTCAGGCCCGGCAATTGCGAATTAAATCTTTTTATATGCCTGTTTTTTCTTTTCCTCTGCGCTGATGTTTAACACTCAACGGACGTTGGCAAAAATCGTAAACACAAATCAAATGGATTTCCATAATTGCACTTGTGTCTTGGCGCTTTCCGTTGGTATGATAAAAAAATAAAAAAAAAATAATGAAATGGGTAACTGAGAAACTGCAAGAACATTAAAGACATTATGTTTTATCCATATATTTTATGATGTATTTCTGCTGTCTAGACGTGAAAAGTTGTCATTGGGCGGAGTAAATGGGATTTAGGGAATAACTATTATTTCTCTAAAATAAATTTTTCATATTTTTAGGTTTGAATGTGACAATTGCGTAAAAAAAAAATAATAAAAAATATATGCGCAGCTTAAAAATAATAGAAATCTTTCCGATTTGTTGATTACCCATTTTTCGCCTTGATTTTGTTTGAGAATTGCAATTTCTAGTTTTTCGCCATCTGCTTTCCCATTCGCTTGGTCCTTTCAATTGCTGAACAAGGGCTTTTGTCATATGTTCCATCCGTAGATACAAATGTATCTTTCGAAATTTCTTCCACTATTTCCTCGTCTTTTTTTTGTGGGCCTGGTCAAACTATTTTGCATTTGTGGCACTTTATTGTTCAGTAGTACTGTTATATTTCTTTGGATTTTTTTAGGGTTTTTTGTTTTTTGGATTTGGCAGTCTTTTATTTTAGTTTCTTCATGCACTTTTTGTGCAGATTTTGCCGTTTGTGTGTGTCTGTTTTTTTTTTCGGTGTGTTTTGTTTTTCAATTTCACGCTCTATTTGTGAGGTTTGCTATTTTCCTTTGCCTTTTGTTTGATTTGGTTTGCCATTCGCTCCTTCTGTTTTTTTATTTTATTTTTTATTTCGTTTTTTTTGCTACTTTTTTTGTTTTGGGTTTTCCCCTGCTGTTGATTTTGCGCCTTTGTTTTGGGTCGAATCTTTGATATTTTTGTACTTTTGACCAATTTGCGGCGCACAATGCAAACAAACACAGTCCACAGTCCAGCACATAGATACAAATGTATCTGCAGGTCGTAGGTTGTATCTTTTTTCCCTATTTTTTTTTTTTTGGGTTTTTGTTTTTTTGTCTGTGGGGGCGAGGTGACAAATGATTGGCAGCTTTTCAATATGGCGCTAATTGAGTTTTTAATTGTTCGACTTTGCACTTGTTGACTTCCTTTTTCGCCCAGAATATCTGGCCATCTGCGAGATGCGTTTAAATCGCCTGCAATTAATAGTTGAGGGGCTTGGTCTTGCTTTCTATATAATGATTTTGAGCTGAAACATCTCTTTACATCTGCTAAGAAAATATTACGCATTACAACAATCTAAGAAAATTAGAATAAATGGATTCATTTTATTTATATATTTAAATTAAAATGATATTTTAATTAAATGACTTATCATACAAACAAATTTGATTAAAACTTTAGTGGAAAAACAATTTTTTTGTATGAAGAAATGATTACGTAATATATGGACAGCCCCTAAATACACACTTTCAATGAAATGTATGTATTAAAATAAAAATAATTGACTCATCAAAAAAAATGTTATAGCTTCATATAACTTTAAATTGTTAGATTTTCTCTTATATACCTACTGAGAAAATTTAAACAAGTATAATAATAATTTCATTAAAACTTTTTCTTAAAATATTTTGGCGATTATATATTTGAACAAAAATGCCTGACTCAACAAACAAATTATATATATATATACAGTTAAAACATAGATAAGAGTAATTTATTTATATTTCATTATCGTGTTGGCAAACGAAAAAATATTTATTCGCACAAAAGGTATCGATCATATAATCGTCGTTGAGAACAACGCAGGCATTGCGAAGGCTGGGATTTCCCACCTTCCAGCTGAGGACTTTGGCAGGCTTTCCGGAGGCCACACTCATGAACTTCCTGCTTTCCCGCAGGTCGTTGATGCCGGTCCAGAACCAGTGCCCCCGATTTCCGAATTTCCCAGCGATGGCCTGCAGTTCCTCTTGGGTTTCGAAGGCAGCCAAATAGCCGCCCATTCGACGACATGTGGCCGCAGCCTCGTACCAAGAACGCTTAATGGAGAACTCAATATAGAAGTACCTTGTACCGATTAGTTGGAATTGCGGGGGGATATTTTTGGCGTGGATCCTGAAGAGGATCTCCTCGAGCGCATAATGCTGGCTCTCGATTTTCGCCTGCAGGGCCAAAAGTTCCGTTTCGGTTTTCTTATGAAGCTGCTGAATTTTGGCCTCCAATTTGTTCTCGAACAACTGCAGTTGTCCCTCTGTTTTGCTTAGTCTCTTCTCGACGGCTCTCTTAAGGAAGGTCTCCTTCAGGGATTCGTGGAGGGAGGTGTGCTTGTCCTTCTGACTTAGCAGCTCCTTCAACTGGCTCTTCAACTCGGAATTCACCACCAGAAGGTGACCCTCCGTCACACTCAACATCGCCTCGAAGTCCTCTTTTTTCAAGGCCCTCTGCTGCGGCTCCCGATGAGGCCTTCGGTTGTCCTTTACAAAGGTTTGTAGCTGGGCCTCCAGATTCTCCATTTTGGTGAACAGCAACTGAAGTTGGTGCCTTACCCCCATATTAGGCCTTTCGCTTCCGTTGTTACTCAAGGAACTCCGATGAGCCTCCAGGAGCTCGGTCCTCAGAGCCTGCTGCTCGCCTAGGATCCTTTCAAGCTTGGAATTGGTCTCGGGAATCGAATCGATCATCGGATGCAGCTTGGTGAGGCAGAATTGGCCACACTGATTCGGCGGGTCCTTCAGCAGGCAAACGGAGTTCTTGGAGTTCGCCAAGGATCCCTGGAATTCCAGGATAATAAAGATCAGAACAGGAAAATATGCCAGCTTCAGCATTTTGAATAAGTAGAACCACTCGAGGAGAAGTTTCGAAACGTACTGAAAATAATATCATTATTAATATAGAAAGAAAAACGGCAATATTACTAATTAGGGGAATTTTTTGGGTATTATAGCTTACAAATTGCACAAAGATTTTTAGGAAATTTGGCTTACAAACATTTTTTAGGAAATTTAGCTTAGAAATTGTTCAAACATTTTTAGGGAATTTATCTTACAAATTATAAAAAAATGCTGTGAAGTGCACAACTTTGAGTCGAGTGATTGATAAGCGGTGCATGGTATTATGGTTAATTCCAGTGGCGGATTTATTTATGAATTGTCATGCTGGCAAATGAAATGTTATTTATTGCCACACTTTTGACATGATCTTGAATATCTATATTTTTGTATTTATATAGGGGAGTGTAGGGTAAGGTGACGAACGATTCGTTTTTTGAATGTAACTTTTGTAAAAATCAATATTTTTCAAAAGTGTAAACGCAGAAAGTTGCTTACATCTACTGAGCATATCCCTGTAAAATTCGAAATTCGAAATTCCAATGCAGCTAAATCCCACAGCGTTTGGCGTGAACCCTACTTTTTTTGCACTTTCAAAAGTTGTAGGGTAATGTGACGAACGATTTGTTCTTTAATGTAACTTCTCCAAAAATCAATATTTTTTAAAAGTGTAAAAGCAGAAAGTTGCTTACATTTACTGAGCATATTTCTAAAAAAATTTGGATTCGAAATTTCAACGTAGCCAAATCCCACAGCGTTTGGCGTAAACCATCCTTTTTACAAACAAAAAAATACATTTTTTTATATATTATTTACGGAAAGGTTATTTTCGATACGGAAAAGAGAAAAGTAATAAGATAATACCCAAACTTACAAAAAAAAAATGGTCAAAGTGCAAATTTTTTTTTAAATTAAATTAAACTGACGTCACTATTAAAAACAACAATAAAACTGCAGCAGTAAATGTTATCTGGTATTATTATATTTTTTTTACAAATAATCAACGATAACAGTTAAAATTCTTGAATAAAAAAAGTTCGTCACAATACCCTACAAAAAGTTCGTCACGATACCCTACAAGGTAGACTTGGAGCAAAAACGGTGTCACTCTCAAACGGCGCAAAAGAAAAAAACGCGAGGTACCAAAAACTGTTGATAAAGATCTCATGTATACGTGCATATATTTGCCTGATTTTATTTTCCACTCATCTTTGCTCTGGCACTGCTGAAACACAAGTAAATTGAATGGGTTTGCTAGTTTGCGCACCACATTTTTAGCGAAAATTACCTCAAGAACAAATTACGGGACTTCTTATTAATATTACTGTAAATACATTGTCGACACGATAAGGGGAGACGACTACATTTATTTGGAATTTTTGTCGTGACGTCATATATGAGATTCGACGAGTTCGTCACATTACCCTACTCGTCAAATTACCCTACACTCCCCTACATTTATATTAAATATAGCATTTAAAAACTTATATGATTAATTACTTTTTAAACATAAAGTTTAGTTAGTATATGTAGTTTTTTTAGCTTTTATAATTATAATATTACGAATAGTAATTATTCGTAGTTCACAGGGTCAAATATAATAATGGGTTGTGCTTGTCTTGTGGTCCCCTGACCTGAGATCCCTGGTATATTTGCATCGGTATCCTCGAATTTGTTGCGGTCCCGGTCTCGGTCCCCATCGAGTGCATCTGCCGTCTGGGATACACAAGTATTAATAATTCGAGGCGACGGGCGGCTGCAAAACAGCAATCAAAATCAGGGATGCTCCCCAGACCGGCCCCTCCCCCTTTTGCTTTTCCTACGGTTAACCCTCTTTTCGCAACTGGTTTTAATGGCTCCGTTATTTGCTGAAGACTCTTTTCGTTCGCTATCCACTCGAGTTGAAATAATTTTAATTTAGTTGCCTCGGCCGGGGAACTACGAGTATATACGTATGTGTATATGTATAAACAGGCTCCGGGTTCTTCGTCCTGCTTTCGACCAGATATTCCCTCCATGTCATCAGCAGTTTCCATTGATAAGCAACACGCACGCTCCCCGACTTCCCCGATATACCCCGATATACCCCCGATATCACCGATTCACCCGATTTCGTTGCCGCTGTCGATGATGCCACGTCATGTGGTGATTAAGACTGAAATCTGCCGAGGGGAGAGGATACACTGAGAAAAATTCCCTGCCGAATTTCATTTGAAAATATTAACGATAACAAATAGGTTATAATAATTATTATTTATTGTATTATAATACAACCAATATTAAAAAGGTATAGAAATTAATTTTTTAAAGCGCCAATAATTTAAAAATTTAAATATCTAAATTAATAATACTAAATTATTTATTGTATTCAGGGATAAAATAACAAATGCAAATAAATTTTTTTAAACAAAGAGATCAAGCATTTTCTATTGAACTCCAAAGCATTAATATGATCTTATCATTAAAATATTTATTTATTATAATAATTATAGAGTACTTTATTTAAAATAATTTCATATTTTGTTTTTTTTTTTTCCTGACATATTCTGTAGAAATTTTTATTAGAGAAGTCATAGATTCAATTCTGAGTACTTATATAAAAAAACCCATCCAATTGTTTATAAATGATCCATTGTCTAAACTGAAGATATATGAATTTAAACACATATTAACAAAAAATATAAATAACTATGTAGAATGGAAATGCTACCATCCCGAAAAGTATTTCAAATTTAATCATGTAATATTCTATTTTCAAAACAATTAAATCTAATTATAAGAAATTAAAGCTTTGGGTAACCATGAGATCATTTAATTTACTTCAGATTATTTTTTAATAGTTTTGTATGATGCAAACATTAGTTAAACAAACAAAAAATCATACTTTTTACAGTACTTTTCTCAGTGATGTAAAAACCTTTGGGATGAGTCAATGGAAACAAAGGCCTTTTGGCAAAGGAAATAATAAGTGAAAGCAGAAATTTATTGAAACTTATCAGACTTCGGACCGATGCAATTATGGAATACCAAGAATTGCGCAGAGGCTTAAACAAATTTTAACCCCAAATATGACATAATAATTGGGAAATACAAATATGACAAATTGGATTACCGATAAATGGCTAATGATTTGCAGCATCTAATTTGAATTTGCATTTGCTGATGTGGAAATTCGATTCCATTATTGTTGATGTCTACAAAATATTTTATTTGTATGAATAAAGAGTGATTATTTTACCATATCTTATCTGATTCCTCTTCTTTCTTTTTCTAGCTGTCTAGTAATTAATTTCAAGTTGTTGCCAGCTTTAAGAGAGTGCCCCCTTGCACAGCCCGCCCCTGACTTTTGTGACAAGCTGGAATAATTGCGGTGCAAAAGGGCAGCAAGGACAACTTAATATGCATGGGATAGGCCAACGGGATGGCTCCTTTCATTCCACAGGCTGCAGCAGCAGGAAATTCACCAACTTTTGGGTATTTCCCATTTTTTGAGCCAATTCTCTGTCGCATGTTCTCCAGCTGACAGACAGAGCTGGTGTTTCCAGGGGGGAGGGGGTGTTCTAGGGGGCTTCTAAGGGGGCCTCGCAGCCAGTGCTATAAATTTATTTGCAATAAATTTACGACCTGCTGCAATGCAGGCAATTGCAACAACAGAAGCGGAAAACAGAAGCAGAAACACAAACCGAATTAGAAACAGCAACAAATGACAATTGAAACATTTTATTCCCATTTGGCTTGGACTTTCGGAGATCCCACAACTTTGACCACGGTTTGCTAATGAAGATAAATGAAGAATAGATCGATGGGAAGAGGGTTCTGTCATTTCGAGAGGGTTTGATATTTAATCCTAAACTTTTCCTATCCCATACTTTTCCTACTAAATTATTTTCTATGATATGATAAAATATCATGTTGACATGTTTGATCCATAAATTTGACATAAATCAGATCGGCTTTTAATTTTTTTGAAATAATGTAGAATTTTTTCTGTGTATATATAAGGAATACTTTATCAAAGAAACACTATATATGTATATATATGCATAAGGAAATATTATATCACATTCATAAATCTTATCTCCCATTTCTGGTTGCCCAATTAAAACCAAAACCGACTCATCAATGACATAGATCAAAATTATCATTTGTCGACTATTTTTCATTCCCTTTTTCCCCCTTTCCTATTTACTTTCTTTTTTCATGGAAATGGTTTTTTTTGGGACAAGGCAGATATGAAAGAAAAGCCAGGGAGGCAAAGGAGGAAAACTAACCCACATGTAAGAGAGCCCAGTGAATTATGTGAAAGGCTCTGGGTAATATTTTATGGGCCTCGAGTAGTGTGGGGATTATTTCTTCCTCTTATTTTTCCTCTGGTAGTGTGTCATAATTTACAACTGTTGCCGGCCAAGTTCCGATTAGATTACACTTTCCTTTTCGTACAAATTGTATCAAAAATGCAGGCCTTAATTTTTCATTTCCGTGCAGGATTAACAAATCCACAGAAAATTAAAATTATAGTGCAGCGAATCGAACGAAGGGCATCCCTAATTAAAAACCCATTCATCTCTGCTTCCAAACTAAAAATAATCATAAACTCTTTCGATAAACGGACTCCTGGAATTTCTTAGCCAGCCCAGGCATAAATCTTGATTATCACGAGAGCGACAAACGACACTGATACACCGAGAACCCAAAAACGAGCAGATGATAAATACAGAGTCCCGGCATTAAGATATAACAATATTATCTGAAGATGGAAGACATTAAGAGGCGCCCGAGTTCGCTCTCTCCAAATTCGAATGCAACTTAATTAGCCGACCACGTAACAGTGGTCTGAAGTAATATAAATGGGTTATAGATTTTATAGACTGATTTAAGGTTTTTATCAATATATTCTTAAAATAAAATATTTATTAAATTTTTAAAATAAAATATTTATTAAATTTTTGAAATGTAAAAATGATATTGCTGACAAAAATTATTTTTTTTAAAGGGAA